GCCACTGGTTGGACATTTGCAACAAAGGTGATCTACATTTAGCTTTGACCAATATCGAAAAAGACATCGCCACATTAGTAGCTAGGTACTCACCAGACTCAGGGCAGTCATTGATAGGTATAATTTTTATATTTTATAAAAATGTTTTTTCATAGGTAGTTAAATAAAATCTTTTTGTATAGTTAAGTAAAATAAAACCATAACGATATTTTTAAAATAAGTTTTTACTTTAATTGAGTACTCTGTTGAATAAATAAATATATATATATATATGTTTACACGAAGACAATTTTATTTTACATGATGAGGAGTTAGCAGTTAGTTATTACGATAAAGGGGCACTGAACCAAAAAACGTTAAGAACTACGGTACTAAGGCACATAACTTAGTAGGAAAAGTTTAATACAATAATTCCTCATCCAAGAACTTCGAGTAAATGGTATTCCCTCACAAAAGCAGAACCAGGATTTACTACTAGAGAAACAATTTAACAATTTAACAATTGACCCTCAGAGCGAAAAACTCCGACCATATTTTATATTGTGGTTTAATCTTTGACGAAATGTCAATCATGCATCATATTGAATGGGACGGCAATAAATACCATGGACATGTGAATTTTGGTGCTGGCTTTAATAATAATAAGTCTGTTATTGCTACCGAATGTTTTGTTTTCATGCTAGTTGTAATCATTGAATCATGGAAAATACCGGTTTGATAGTTTTTGTACTCACTTGAATAGTTCACAGAAATCGGAACTAATTCTAGAATGTTTAAACCTTTTAAACAAAACTGGCATAACAATGGTTAGTTTAACTTTTGATGGATGTGCTTCAAATATTAACACGTCAAAACGTTTAGGTTGCAACCTAACTTCTTTTACAACAAATTTTGAATTTAAATTAACTGATTCATTAACAAAAAACATTGCAATATTCCTTGACCTTGCACATATGGTTAAGTTGGTTAGAAAGACTTTGGGCGAAAAAAAAAATTTTTTAAATGGCGATAACAACATTATAAAATTTGATTATCTTGAAAAGTTATTATTACTATAAGAATCCGGCTTGCATTGGGCAACTAAATTGAAAAAACAAAATATTTCGTTTTTTAACCAAAAAACGTAAGTCAAAATAGCTACACAACTATTGAGCAAATCTGTCGCAGATGCATTAGAGTTCTGTAAAATTTCTGTTTTATGTCTGGACGATTTTCTATCATGTGAACCCACTCTTAAGTTTATTAGAATATTAATTGATGCATTTGACATTTTGAATTCTACAAACCTATATGATTATGGTAAAAAAAAGCGTTAAGCTCACAAAACTTGAACGATTTGTACTGAAACTTATTTTCAAACGGTCTGGAGAATAATGTATGGTGTGGTTTGGTGGAAAGCTAATAGGACTGTTCTTTTATGATGGTGCGCTCAATGGCAGACGATATCTTAATTTTTTTACCAATAAACTTCCAACGCTTTGGATTAGACACACAAAAACGTATGTTTTTCCAACAGGGTGGAGCACCAAGCCACAATGCAATTATTGTTAGCCAATATTTAAGTCAAATATTTTCGAACCGCTGGATTGATACTAATGGTTGTTCCTTGGCCTGCACGATTCCCAGATTTAATGCCATTGGATTTTTTTTCATGTGGATATTTGAAGACTGTGGTTTATGCAGACCCACCTGTCAATCTACAGGACTTATATGACAGACCTTCTATGTCATTTTAAGTTTTTAGGTCAAGAAAGAAAAACATCATCAACATAAATCCACAATTATTTTTAAGAAGTAAATTTGAAAAAATGTACATAATTCTTATATTTAATTTCCGATTACACAACACACAATTTTGAGCGCCTAAAATTGACATTTATAAAAATTTAAATTCTCATAGCGCATATGCTTAGTGTAACTATTGCAGATTGTGTGTACCTATTTCCATAAATGCTAAAAAAAAAATGATAAATAATTATGACAATGAACTCAAAACACTATATTATTATAGTGTTGGTGATAGTAGGTACATTATGATAATAAACTTTATACAAATTCGTATAAACCACATTTGACTTAAAAATATATAACGCATAAACATAGGCGACGACAACCTTTACAAAAATGTAACACTGATTTGTATATATCAGGGGTGGCCAAACCGCGGCTCGCGTCATAGACTTTTGCGGCTCGCATCTAATCGTAACCTTTTTACAAAAAGTTTAAGTTACTAACCTTAAATTGTCACGATACTCAATTACTTTACAATGATTGACAACGATAACTTTTGGTTAGGTTTGCATAATTTGGTTAATACTGTAACAGATAACTTTTGGAGGTGAAATTTGACGGGGCAACTTATAATTTGGTAGGGAGGGGTAAGGGGGTGACACAATAGCCCCTGTTGAGTTACAGCCTATTAGGACTTTGTTTGCCCACGCTGCGGCCGCCATGGCAACAGTTCAGTAGATCAACAGTTCAGCAAATTAGGCAGTACCCTACTTGTCTTGACTGGAAGTCTACCTCTTTATGTTTATTATTTTGAATTCGTATGTAGATGATATAAAGTATGACATATTTTATGTGAATTATAAAATTTGCACAAGTCACATTTGAACCATTAACAAGTTCATATTCAATAGTCTCCGATGCATCACAATAACAAATAATGAATGTAACCGGCTTTCGAATATTGTGGTGATTCCTGGGTGTATTCATGTGCCACGTTTTTCAAGAAGCGTTATCACCTGATCTCAGCGTCGTGGCCGTAACCGCACCGATGACCGATCAGTACGATTCCACAAGAGGAACGATAATTGAACAATTTCCACCACAATTAGTGGCTAGTGCTCACCTAACGGCAGTATCCTGAACGATTTTTTCAGCCAGCGCCCACCTAACGATCATATCCGTAACCAGTAGACTTTTAGAGCTCATCTAGTGTTTCTATCTAGAACTAATACTACGACTGCAGCGCCATGCAACGGCCGCGTCCGTTAGAGCTTTGCGCGAGATTCCGCACGGTGTGTAGTCAACACTATCACGCACAGCACTGTTTACACTGCGCACTCCGCTCAACAAGTTTTTGAATAACCAATTGTGTTTTATCCAGTGTGTTTTTCTTTTTTAATTCAGTTAATAATATTAAGTAATTAGAATATTACATGTGTACGGTCTCACTGAACAATAAATTACTATGATGTTACGGAAGATTTTGACTCGTGTTCGAAAACATCGAACTTGGTAGGATTGCTTGCTTAGGTAGTACGAAATTAATTGTAGCAGTGGTACCCAAATAGCTTAGCCATTTCAAAATCCGGGCTCACGTGCATCCAAACCATTGACCTATGTTGTTAACTAGTTACTACTCATGGATATGCGGGAATAGATGGAGAAAATGCATCGATAGTGAAAATAAGAATTGTGCTTTGCTGTTAATGAGTTTTTAACAAACAACTGCTCTTAATCACCGAAATACATCAAAACCACAGTTCTTCGTGTATCAAACCCTCTTAATTTGATTTATTGTTCAGAACTTAGTCAATATGTACAGAACAGGTTAGTTTTATCATGATACAATTATGTTATTTTTATTTTAAAATGTTGATTAAGTTATAACTATGCTTATTGACTTAGAGAATTAGCATGTTTTATTTTTTGTTATGCTATACTACTTACTTAAATAAAAATCAACATATATATTAGGTGGGAATATACATCACCAAGAAAATTACTTTTTTTTCAAGTTGAAAAATTCGATTTAACTATTAAAAGATCATTTAGTCTTCAGGTATCTCTGTATCTACCAAAAAAATAGATAATACATCTTTTAAATATTGTTTATAATAATATATAATTAAATTATAGTTGTTTTTGTTTTTAAATCGTTAATTTAAATGAATATTTACAATCTGTACTAGGGGGCACAATAAGTAAAAGGTTTAGTATAATGAGGAAAGGGACTTGAAATGAAATTAAAGAAGGAATGACATAAAATTATAGTTATTGCTATTTATCAATAACCGTCCTCAATGCCTCAACCAGCCACTTATCTTATAATTTTATTCTGGTTATCTGATTAAAAAAATGTTTCATTATTAACTGCACACTCTATAATGTTTGTACTTAAATCATCTTATAACAGAATTCATTCAAGCCTGTACGATAATGTCTAGGACTAATATATTTTTGTATAGCATAGTTAAAATAAAATAAATAATATTAAGGTTATTATTCAATAGGTTCGACAATGATAATGATTTAAAAATTGGCTTAGGTACCCTATTTAACAATAAACACTAATACTAAAATATAATAGAATTACATACTATGTTGGATAGTTCATGCTCAGGGAGTTTTTGTCTTTGGTGTCTTCTTATCCACGCACATATAGCTTCATCCCACTTTCTTTTTATAGATTTAAATAGATATCTAAATCAAAGGGTTGTAGTAAGTGACTGGAATGAGGTGGCTATAGTAAAATGGTTACGTTATTATTTTTTGCCAGTTCTACCAATTTCAAATCCTTATGCGAAGAATGACTGTCATATATTAAAATTACAGGGTTTTTTGATGTTGGTTTTGCAGTTTTAAAAATAGTTGATATATGCTTGTTTTTTCATCCTACCATTTTCAGTTGCCGCATAAGTTGTTCCAGGGAAGTTAGATTTTTCACAACCCCACTTATTCTACACACTTTTACGTTTATAAATATTTAGAGGTAGTCCCTTTTCACCAGCAGCACTACACGACATAAGAACAGAAGTATTTTCTCTACCAAAGCCCTGTGTTACGCTAGTTGCAACCACATTTTTCGCACCTACCGCCCTTGTTTTTGAAGCATCTAAGCAGAATGACGTTTCATCTAAGTTCAAAATTTGTTTTGGTTTATCCAACAATTTTAATTCATCAATGGTATTCCACTATAAATTAAAATAACCATATATTATAAAAGGATCACCTGATTTTTTTCCTGGCATACTCAACGATTTCTGGTTTTTTTAAACTTAAATTATGTCTAAATGAAAACCAAGTCACAAATCCTCTTTTGGATAACAATGGATTTAAAATATTATTTGTATTTAAATAATCACTTACTTGTGTCATTACTTCTTTTTGGCTCAGACCATATCCAAATTTTTCCATAATTTTTAGTAGTTCGGCCAAATTCTCTTCTACAGCTAGAGTCAATTCTGGTGGACGCCCATAAGTACTAGATTTTTGTCCTCGCCTGCCCTTTATATGATCATTTAATGTTGCCTGTGGTATAGAATAATGTTTTGAAGCTCTTGTTACTGTGAATCGCCCCTGTTTTATATATTGTACAGGTGTTGAAAGAAGTGTTTTTGAATACTATGGTTTTTCTGTTTTTCTTTTATAGTTCCTCACAATTTTTACTGTAACTATATAAGTACATAATTTAAATATTTTAGATGGGTTCTTAGGTAATTCATTTATGTAGGACGTAGGTAGTAGGTACTTTCAGCTTTTATGGGTGGAGAAAGTGCGATTTCGCCAGTCAACATGTATCAATTTGAATGAGTGAAGAGTATAATATTGTTAAAAAACTCTTTAAACAAAACATTGAGTTTCATTCAATAAGTTAAATGCAAACTAGATGTAGAAAAACATCTTACCTAAGTTTCAGTCCAGCTTGAAAAAAATAACAAACAACACTTAATATTGAAACGTGAGATAAATACAATACGTTTTTTCATAAATAAATAACATCATCAAATGATATCATTTCAATGTATCTAACATTGAATGAACAATCTAGGATATTTTAACAATTGTTTTTCTATCTTCAAAGCAGTTATATGTTAAAGTACAATAACTGATATGCGGATTAGGCATTTACCCCCGTTTATGCACTAGCCTCACTTCACCCTAATTTATTATTATCTATTATTTTTATTTTTTTACACAAACAATTTACATGTGTAAAATCCAGTAATTTTTAATTATTCTTAATTTTAAATTCAAATCTGCTAGATTACAATAATAATATATTTTAATACTTCTTTTTGTAATTTGTTCTTAGGTCTGATTGATGATTCCAAGTCAAATAGCATTGTTACAGATCAAAAGAATGATGAAAATAAATTGGTATCATCAACAGTATTTATTACTAAACCTTTACAAAATGAAGTTAGTATTACTAATATTTAATTATTACCTATATTTATATTGAATTATAGAGTTCAAATATAAAAAGTTAATTTTAATTTAGTAGGTTATTTAGAATGTCTATACATTTATATATTATATTATACATTTACATTATATGTATTAATGAGTGTTTTAATTAAATAGTTTATTCATAATTTATTTTATTTAGGTACTTATTGTCTTTTCTTAATCATTTGTGCTGAATATTTGTAAGACATTTGAGAAGACATTTTGTAAACATTAGTATTACATTTCCTAGTAGCCGGGGCATTAGGTGCAAAATGATTTGTATGAGTTTCTGCCGCTGAATGTATTTTGGGTGTTCAAATATTTAATTTAATGACTTTTTCCCAATATCGGTTTTCATTCAGTCTATTATTGCAGTGAAGTAGTTCAAGGAAAAAACTAAATTTGGAAACTATGTATTGTATAATTGTCTACAGGTGAAAGGGGAGCAAACAAATTAACTGTGCGTCACCCAGTTATACATTTATTACTGTTTATAATTATTATTATTATTCAACAATGAATAACTAAAATAAACTGCGTAATTACCACAAAATTAGATTTCTATCATATGCAATTTGTAGGATAAAAATTATTTAGGTTTCTGATAATTCAGTTGTTATGGAATAAAACCTGTTCTGGTTATATTATAGATTTTGGTATGTTTTGGTTTATGACTTAGGGGTTATTTAGAGGTATTTTGTGCTTGGGTTAATTTGGGTACAAGGTAGCCAGTAAGTAGTACTTATCTTATGCTTAATTTTAAAGCATGAATAATATAAGTTGGTATTATAATAAACTGTAATGTTGCTGGTAATAGTTGTATAAATTATTGTGAGAACTGCGCTGTAATATGTGTTAATGCCACATTGGTTTTAAACATTTAAACCACTGAAAATTAAAACCACCATGAGACCATTATAAGAACATATATAGATAATTTTATTTCGTTGGTAATTTATTTGTAACCAATGCTACAGTTAGTGTAGAGTAGTAATGTAACACAAATTACACAAATTACAAATGATAGTAACAACATTACTTTTGCAGTAACGCTGTACTAATTGCATTACATTTTATTTAAATTAATGTAATTGTAACCAAATCACTGTTTAAATGACATTTTTATGAAATAACTAGGTATTTTCCAGGTTATTAAAATATGTTATGAATGTAGAGTATATGACAAAAACTTTAATAGAGAATTATATTATGTATAATAGAGTAATTATTTATTTTATTTTTTTAATTAATAAAACAAATATTTAAAACATTATGCACACATATTTTTCTTTAAGAGTGTTTTTTTGAAACTATTTATTTGTTTAAACAAACCGTTTTCCAATTTTGAACTTTATACTATTAAACATATAAATATGATTTTCTTTTTTCATAGTCGGAAGAACAATGCTCTAAAAATAGTATTGTAAGGCTAGAAGAACATAAGGTATTAAACAAATCAAAACATACTATAAGAAAAACATTTTGCATTGCATGTAAGTCATATAACAAAATAGTTTTATAGCATTACTATAAACTTCTTTCTTGTTGGTTTGTAGTACTAATAATTTTTTTATTTTTATGTCCAATAATAAATTACAAAATGTTCTATACATTTATAATGATTAAAATTGGTTGTATGATAGGTTGAAATTGTATACATTTGTACATTTTTTATCCAGTACTTGTTTCCTGCCACAGTGTTGTATACAATTAATAACCTCTACAACATTTTCTATTATGATATTTTTAAGATACAAAACTTTCAAATATAAGTAAATAATAATATATTGTTTACAATTAATAATAGCATAGTCAATAATTAACATTTAATAAATAGACTTAAATGAATATAAAAAAATATAACAATTTCCTTAAGATTCTTAAATGTCACAATATATTAAAATTAGTTGATAACATTATTTGTAAAATAAGTGTACTCTATGCACTTGAAATTACACTCAATTCTACCATGTAGCAACCACACGCTATTAATACTATTTTAATATAATAAAATACAATTAAAAACATTATTAGAAGTATTTACCATTTTTCAATACATAGATCACATACTAGATTAACCTACACATAAACTGTACTATCAAGATACAGACATACATTGATCATGAGTTTCACAATTTAATTTGAAGACTGCTGACAAAAGATCAATTTTATGTGAATTTGTGGCAGGCTAATAATAAACCAGTACTCTTTTTTTCAATGCTTTCAATACAACAAATATTTTTCAATGCTTGAATTGTATGTACTATAAAAATTATTTTATAAGTATCATTTATGATTCTTAAAATTGTTTCTTTTCTGATTTTCAATTTAAGTATTCCTCTTGATAACAAATAATTGTATCATATATGGTTTGTTCAACAAAATTATTTTGAAATATAATAACATTCTTTAGAAACATATAGTCATAGCCATGGTTATATTTTTGAAATAATATACAGACCATAGTATAGCAGGTCTTTTATTTATTTATTTATTTTTTTGTACCTGTATGGCCATTTGGAACATTAAACATATTTAGATTTTCAATTTTGAGGTTGGTTTCTGGTTTGTTGAGACTTTAAATGTTTACTTTTAATTTTTATGTATTATTATATTTTGTATTCATACTCACAATGACATTTACATTTTGCAATGTTTTTAACAAAATAAATTCAGTTTATTACTACATACCATTACTTATAGTTAAACAAATTACTTTTGTAGCAATATAATTATATCATACATATTTTATGACAGACCATCTTTGTATTCAAATTTAACATATACATTAGTAATGTATATAACATTACAGAGACTCTCTAAATGACTAGAAACACCCAACAACTACAGTAGAGCAAAGCAGTTACCTACTTACCCTTTTTTAAACTATATATTTGATAAGTTATTTTAATCATTTAATGTTATATTAGTATTTTAATTTTAAGCTATATTTAACGCTGTTACCGAAACAAAACTATTGTCAAACAAAACTGATGATCAGAAGTATAAAGATCCTACTATTGATAATTCATGCCACTCACTGTAAGTATATCATAGTTTACAATCTCTTAAGAGGACGCCACACCCGCACGAGTAACATACCAAATTTATGCCCAGCAGTTCAAGTTTTATGCCGTTAGCTTAAAAATTAGAGTGAATCCACCTATTATGAAACTTTATGTTAAGAACTTTATCTGTGTTTTGTTGGAAGTTTTTTTACAATAATTCAGTTTTTAAGTGAGTTATGAGCATTTTTAATTTACATTTATTATACAAGCATACCTCACTTAAAAACTGAATTGTCGTAAAAAAAACTTCCAACAAAACACATATAAAGTTCTTATCATCAAGTTTCATAATAGGTCGATTTACTATAATTTTTAAGCTAACGGCATAAAACATGAACTGTTGAGCGTACATTTGGTATGTTAAGCGTTTGTAAGACTGAGACAACACATGCGGGTGTGGCGTCCTCTTAAGATTTTGACATTAATATTTATATATTTTTTAAATTGTGTGTTTACAAAAAATTATGATAAAATATTAGAATTGATAAGTTGATCTAATTTTTTTTATTTTGTTTCTTATCAAAAGTCTATTGTAACCTGTTTCAACTTTACACACCCAACATAAATTATTATTATATATGTATTAGGGTGTTCCTTATTTTTCATTTTTATATACATAAAAAGTTTCATTCAAATTCTTTAATTTTAACTCGTGCCTCAAAAGCTCTAAAGTTACAAAACTAGACAATTTTCAATATTATTAACTTCTTTTGATATTCTTGAACATAATTCTGGGGAAAAAATGTTACAAAAAATTCAAATTAGTTAAGATACAAATGGTAGAAAACTTAATATACTTAAATTTGTTTGGTATTTATTAGTTTCCAAATATTTTAATCAAAAAGTCTAAAAAAAAAGTAATCTTGAAAAAATGAAATATTTCCGGCTACATGTCATAACATATAAATAATTAATCATGAAAACAACTAACAATAAATATTAACATAACAACTTAATACTCATATCTTTAACATATTTTAAATATAAATAAACAACTAAATTTATGACTGTGTACTAGCGTTTGTTTTCTGTGATTAGGATATTTTTTTGCAATGACCACTAACAACTTGTAGTAGATATTGTTTTTGAGATTCATCTTTGGTTATTTTGTTGTTATAATCTTTTCACTCCTCTTTCTGCTACATAATTTATAACTGGAATATTTTTTTTAATTAACAGAGCTTTATTATAATCTTCATTATTTACCCACTTTGAAGGGTGTTCGTTTGAAAAAGTGGTATTGATGGCACCGAGCTTGATTAATGGCCCCTGGTATTTTAAAGCTAATATCATTTGAAAGTTTTCATCCTAAAAAAGTAACTGTTTATTCTAGTAACTCTCGATAATCATCTCTTGGCTGCTTCTCTAAAAGTCGATCTTTAGAAAATTTAATAATATGAACATACGTCATTTACAGAATCTAATACATTACTATTTTTGAATGTTGTTTATTAATTATATATTAAAAAACTAACGATTCAAACATTTTTTTGTTATTAAAACACACTGACTTAAGTTGATAAATTTGTTTAAATATTTTTTCTCGTGCTTTTTAAGTAATAGAACAGATTTGAGGATGGTAACTTGAACATTTTGCAATTTTTTCCCTTCATCTATGCTAAAAGACTACCCTAATATGTATATTTATTGACTTACATAATTTATTATACATTTTTAGCTAAATTTCTCTACAAGAACATTGCACATTTGATTGATATTTTTCAATAGTGGTAGGTAACAATGCTCCAGAACTTTTTAGTTTGTGATTTATACTTTTTTTTTAACCTATCAATAAACCTGTATTTCTCCGTGGTGAGATTTCAACTACCTATTGTATACTATCTTGTTTTTTTAAATTTTATTTTAGTTGTGAAAAGCCAATGCACTCATATGATACACATACATCTAACATAATATCAGATACAATGAAATTAAAAATGCACTGCGTTTTAAAAAAACACAGAAATGGGATATTATGTAATAAATTTACAGATGTTTATAATGTAAGTATTCTAATAATTATTAATGAAAAATCCTCAACAAAATATTGTTATTATAAATATTAATAATAGTTACTAGCAATTCAAATAGTGTTGACACCTAGCTAAACCTGCTTAAGTACATATATGTATTGTTTGAACGTATGTATATATGAATTTATTTATTTATTCATTTTATTGATTAGGTTATAATTATCAGTAAAAAGATTGAAGTAAAAATTCTATTTCAAACCAGGTGGTTGTATTTATACTTGAACATAATAAATATAACACCTTGTATAATAAATAAATACAATTATTTATTTTTACGCTTTTAAAATAATATTATTTTTATTAATTATATTTATATCTAATTAAAGTATTGGTTTATTATTTTATAGAATGAGTATAAAAGTCACTTAAATTTTTCCGAGTATGGATTCAGCAGCATGAAAGATATGGCATACAAACTACCTTCTGTATTTCATGTAAAATTAATTGAAGATGGCAATGAATGTATTTTATTTGAAGCTAGTAAATGGAGTGAATTGGAAAATAAATTAAATGGTTTGAATGTGCTTGCGTAATGTAGTATACATAGTATACACATAATACATTTATTATAAACAAATTATATTATTTTCAGATCCATCAATATTTTATACAAATATTCCAAAAACCATATTAAGAAATTTTTCTGAGTTTTTTGATAAGCATAGAACTGGTGTGGATCTCAATAAAATGATGAAATTATACCGTGTAATATATATATATATTTATATAATCAATTTTTTTTTCTTTAGAACCGATGTTTTAATGTATTTTTTTTAGTCAAAATATGGCCGATCTTATGAACCATTGAATTATGGCTACTCTTCCGAAAAACATATGTTTGAATCTTTAGACAAAATGGTGGAAATAAAAAATAGTGTGCTGTATACTAAAGATCCTTTTGCTTATACACAATTATTAAAAACAATAAATCCTATTGATATTAATGAAAAAACTGCTCTTGTATTACCGGTATGTATTGAAATTGCTTGTTAATTTTAATTAATAAACATTAATTATTTTTTTGCATTTTGCGTTCAAGTAAATTATTCAATGGTTTTATAATTCTTATTGTACATTTTATAAAAATGTTAAATTGAAATAATTTTATAGATGTACTGTTTTTAACATAGGATAATGATTTTCTATTGAATTACTCGAACAATGATATCTGCAATGGAAGATTTAAGTATTATAAAATGAAGTTGAATGATCAGATGTTAAATAATGTTATTGTTGCTGAAGTTTACAGCCCAAGTTCATTTTATGTTCAATTAGCGAAAGAAGCCAATGCTTTAAATAAATTCATGGATGAATTGCAGTAAGTCTTATTTTTAATTGATGTATGGTTTCATTTCTAACAGTAATTTTGTATCATATTTAGAAAGTTCTATAATGAAAATGAAGAAAAGTACAAAGTTTTACCAAAATTAATTCTTCCAGAATTACCATGTACCTCATGTGTTAAAGATACCAAGTTGTGGCACAGAGCTAAAGTTTTAAAAATTGTCGATGAAGAAAATGTGCAAGTAATTACCAATTTTAAGAATATATTTTTTTATTTTAATCTTTAGTTAATATAAAAATTTTCCAAGTTTATGAAAATATATTATATATTAACATAACTTGAATAGTTGGCAGGAACTGAATAAGGTAAGGTGTAAAATATATGTTTAAAAATTATTAAAAATCTTAATTGTTCATATCTTATTCCTATTATTTTGGTGTTTGTTAACTTTATACAGACCGCTCTTAAGGAGAATTTATGGGGACCTTTTTGAATGATATCATAACTTGATCGACGACCGTCCAACAACTAAATGCTTACAAGCATAAACATGAATTAATGCTATAACGTATTATTTAATAATCTGTAGACACTTAAAGTATTTTGTTATGACAATAAAATCCCAATGATAATTTGATATAGTTGTTGACTTTAAATGTATAATATAGTGGAACACCAAAGATTATCTACAGTATAGCCAATATGTTCAACTAATCTATTTAATTTGATTAGATATTAAAACACAATGATTAATTACCTACTAAATAACTTTCAATAATTATTGTAGTATGAGAAATGTTGGAATATCCACCCTTCTGAGTGAAATTTTAACCCTCTTAAGACATGTCTTAGGGTTGAAATAATTAAATCAAATGTTCAACATATTATTGTTTTAAACAATTAAACAAAATTTCAAGATGGCACATTCAAAATGTCAAAAATAATTATCTCTAAATAAGGACCAACCTTTCTACGACACATCAAATATTCGTTCACCAGTTTCAATAATATGTGATATTAGAGTGAAATGACCAATAATACTATTGATAAGCAAGATTATTATCTACTTGGAGGCTTTTATTAATATTATTTTTAAGTAAGTAATGGCCTATTTAAAACTGTACATTTTAAAATTAAAAACTTAAATATGAGGCAACGTGAAGGTCTAGATCATAAGCTTATCTTTAATTTTTATAATAGGTCAATTCATTCTGATATCAAAACTAACAGCACACTATTGAAACTTGTGGACTAAAATTTGCTTACGTATGTAAGACCAAGTCAACTCATGTTTATAATGTTCTCTTAATATCAATTTTAATTTTAAAAAATAAGTATAAGCAGCATATTTTTCTATGAGCTTTGAAAGTTTAAATATCCACAACATTTTTCAAAATCACGAAAATCAACAAATCATTTTGAGTTAGAAATTCATAAAAAAAAAATGTCTATTTATATCTAAAATTTAATAATAAAATACGAGATTTCCTGTAAGTTGTCTTACTTTTAGCAACAAATAAAAAGTTAATCGGCTTCAAATCCTTTTTTCGTGAGCGTCTTTTGTTATAGGGGGAACCATTTAACAAACTATTTCTTGTGAAATAATTTTCTTATTTTGTTGTAATTAAAAAATGAATAACTAAAAGGGTACTTATATAAATTGGAATATAGATCTATTTAAGAATGGTAATTTAAAAAAATAACATAATAAAGGAATTTTATTTTTAATATTCCTATATTATTTCATAATCTTTAAAATACCAGTTCATGCAAATAATAATTATTCCAGATTTGTTTTTCCTAGTAAATATTTTCCTTGTTTATGTAGCCATATTAAAATATATAAAAACCGATAACATAAAGAGAGCTAAAGATACATAGGTATAATTTTTCTTTTATAAAAATGTATAGTTGAAATGTTGTCAAAAATTATCAATATTTCAAAAAAAATCTAAGTTATTTTGTACTTAAAATTTATAAAATGTCAAATTTTCTAGCTAAGAATTGAAATTTAAAACAATTTTTCTCACAAGTAGTTAATATTGTATCAAATGCATTTAAAAAATTTATAAACACAGTTTTTTTTAGACATTTTAATTTCAAATTTGAAAGAAATAAGATATTTTTATAAAAAATAACGTTTTTAGTTATTTTGTTTTAATTCAAAAATATTAATCGGGGATACTTCAACTTATACATTTTCGGTATATTATTATATTGTACACAGACAAAGACATATTCAAATGCCGTTTTTTTGGCAAAAATTAATTCAATTTACTGTGTATTACTAATGTCTAATAGTAAAATAAATTACTTTAACAATAATATCACAAACTATACTTAGTAATATTATAGTCCTTCAGACCATCTCATCATTGTTTTTTGTATACAATGATTTTATATCGTTGAAAGAATTAAAATTGAACATGTACTAAGCAACAGAGTAGCACCCACTTGTCCATCTTTTTTATTTTATACTCAATAATTTATTGTTATAATCGAATATTTTTGCAACATATTTTATTGTTGGTATACATTTTTCAAAAGACATTAACATCCTCACACCATCTTAAATATAGTTTTTTAAGTTGAATATTAAAATTATATTCAATCAACTATAGTCTTTGATTCTTAAGATATTTCTCAAAATGTTTGAAAATATTAATACTTTGTATTATTTTAAAATACAACTGACACAGCATAATATATTTTCTAGTTGTTTTTTGTTGATTATGGATCAATTGAAATAGTACCAAAAATCAATATCAGACTTTTGCAATCAAAATTTAGCACTTATGCTACTCAAGCAATACACTGTGGTTTGTACAAATGTATAGAGTACAATTATTCAAGAGAAATAAGTGAATCTTTTGCTGATATGGTAGAGCAACACGTGCTAAAAGCACAGGTCCATCCACCAATTCCTGAAGTAATTATCTAAAATCTAAGTCAATGCTGTACTACTTAATTTTATTTTTTTTTTTAATTTCAGAACGATTCTGGAAAAATAATGGTTACGTTATTTTTAAATACCAAATATGATCAAATGAATATAAACAAAAGAATGTAAGTTATATAAATTATATTTTAACTAATTATATTATAAACGTTACTTTTTTTTTTTGATATTAAATAAAATAATTTTTTTAACTGACAATTACTATTATTTCTGATTTAATATCTGAAATATTGAAGTGACGTATGAATGTTATTTTAAGTTTTATGTAAAGAAGAAAATAATAGCTCATATTTTGTAACACATTAGTTTGATTTATTTATATGTTTAAATGTTATTTCTAGCTCCAAAGTTCTTGCAAATATAAAATATTCATCAAAATATCAAAAAAACATTTAAAAGATAAATCAATCAATGTAGTGGAAGAAATTAATCGAATTTGGATATTTTAAAAAGAAAAAAAGGGATGCAGCATAAAAAAAAAAAAATTGACTTGAGTAAAAATATTTATTTCATTATTTAATATATAACTTAATCATCTCTATATATTGTGGTGTATATCTGGTAACTAAATACATTGACAAGAGAAAAAAGTTAAGTTTCTTCAAATATGTGTATATATATTATTGTTGAGTCAGTAAGACATACATTATAATTATTATTGTTGGGCCAGAAGGGCCATCCTTTATATCTTTGTGTATCATTTAAATCTGTATAATAATACAAGCCATTTACCAGCAACCGTCTTATTTAATTTACCGTCTTTTCCTAGTAATTTTTTTAAATTATTAAGACCCCTGCAAACGTGCCATTTTTAAAGAGTTGTGTTTAGGCAACTATTTTGTTCCTTCCAACTATTTCTGACAGTAAATAATCTAAGTAAAACTCTGCTAATGATGTTTTTGTATTCCAGAATTCATCGTCACGATAAATTTGATCAACATAAATTCCTAATACATGATTATAAAATATTATTAAATTAAAATGAATACTATTTTAAAAATATTACTTATTATACAACTAAAAAATTTAATAATAAAATTAATTACCTTTTGGTGTCCAAACTACAAAATAACATACATTTCTTTGTGTTATGTGAAGTTGTCCCTGTACTTGAAAATAGTAAATATGATTTTTTTTTAATATTAAATTTTCTGATTCTATTTCCATAAATTTTAATTTATTTTCTTTCTGTGCATCATCTGGGGAAAAATCTTTTGCCGAATGGGGACACTTAATTTCAATGATTGCATCATTTCCAATAATTCCATCTGGTGATGCAGCCAAAAATGGCAAATTAAAATCTACAAATAAACCAATTGGGAGTACTTTTAAGTTGTACATGGTTTCAAACTCTGTTTTTGCTATTGATTCAAATTGAATTTCCGTAACTAAATCATGATATAATAAAAAATAAAATCAAAGTATACTATAAATAATTCATAAAATAGAAAACACAATTTACCTAGTATCAGTAGTTCCGTGGAAAAAAAAAGGATTAATAGAGAATAGAAATTACAAAAAAAAAAAATTATAAATTTAATTTTGTTTTTTCTAATGATAATTTTACGCTTCTTGCAAATTTTACAAAAATTGGATGCTGTTAATCTGGACAATCTTTCTTTTTTCCATTCTTCGTTATTTGATTGATCAATCGTTCAACGTTCTAATTTCAAAATATCAATATTGCTTAATTTTTTTGTCTTCAAAGTCTTCTTTTGTCATTGCCAACGGTTGACAACCGAGCTCTCGTCTACAGCACCATAGTCGGCATTCGGACCAAAAATGATTTTTTTTTTTTGTATTTTTGGTCTTGAAAATAAAATAAAAAATAAGTAGATATTTTTAATAAGCCCATCATCGTTTAAAAATTATAATTATAGTATAATATTATAAATTACCTAGAACTAGTTTTACAATTTGTTTTTTCAATATATCTCCTTTTGTTTTCTTTGGCAATAAACTTTTTTGTATACATTCCCGAGCTAAAATTGGTTGACTTCTTATACAATTGCCGTAAATAATTTGGTCCATAATTATATGCAGAGACTGCAGTATTACACCGTGCGTTATAAGATCCTAAAGTTTAATATTAAATATTCCAATAAATGATAATTAATCCTAATTTAACTTTTAATTTTGTCATCATGAACGACAGATTTAAAAAATAAAAATAACGTAGAAAAAGTTACCCCTCAATGAGAAATTCACCCGTTTCCCTCCTACATACTTTGCGACTACACTATTATAAGTTTCAACACTGTTATTATTTAACATAAAATATAATGATAAAAACATAAATCTTTCCAGTTGCCTTTTTAACAGCCTCGGTCATATAATGATTTCTAAACAAAAATATTTTTAAGCAATAAATTGCCCGTGCCATCCACCAAGCTTGATGCATAGCACCAGGAGGATGAATTGTTATATAGTTTTCCAAATCACCACCAAGAAACATTAGTACTAATTCTAAAAATTCACTGTAGTCTCCTCGAGAGTGTTTAATTTTTAGTTTGTTTTTGACAAAGTTGAGAATATCTTCCTTCAAATTTTCCAAAATAGCACCACACGTTTAATCTTCAATCCCACTATTATATTTATTAATATGTATTTCGTACCATTGTTTTTGAAAATTTTTAAAAAATGGAATACTTGGGCTTGTGCATAGGCGCAAATAGGGATTTACATTGGCGGGGGCTCAAGCCCTGTAATATATTTAACAAAAATCCCCCCCCCCTTTCACACGTCACACCAAATACAAATATTACTATTTATTTTTTTTTTTAGCTACGAGTATAAAATTATTACTTATTAATGCACATAATATTATATTTATTATCAACTAGATAATTGGTTACAATAGCCGGGGGCTCAGCCCTGTAAATATATTAACAAAAAATCCCCCCCCCCTTTCACACGTCACACCAAATACAAATATTACTATTTATTTATTTTTTTAGCTACGAGTATAAAATTATTACTTATTAATGCACATAATATTATATTTATTATCAACTAGATAATTGGTTACAATATTAAGTTTATTCTTCTGTTGGATTTGGCAAAGTCATTTAAAACAGTGTATAGTAATAATCATGAACTAATAAATAATAATAAAATAAGGTAGGTATGACATTGTATCGGCAATATGCTTGATAATCGCTGGAAAACCCGCTAGCTGTTTACCAGCTAACCCGTATGATATACTCGTACACATATATATATATAATATATTAATATCATAATTCATAGTGTCCTACCATTTGACTATAACTTGTTTATTTATAAGTCTTAGGCTAGGAACACATTTTAACGCGCGACATGTTAACCGTGCGATAAAGTCATGATGCACATGACTGTTTTCGAAATATCGCGTGATATTTATGTTCTCAATGTTTCATAAATCAATTAATCTATAATTAAAATGTAAAAAAAAAAATTATATTGACCATATTCTACACTTTTACAATCATAGTTAGTAATCGAAAACAACATTTGATTATTAATAGGTACATTAAATTTTAATATTAGAGTAAATATTGGGGGGGGGGCTTAGATGGAATCAGGTTGGGCTTAGCCCCCCCCCAAGCCCCACCCTATATGCGCCCATGGGCTTGTGGTAACTTGAGGTATTTTAATTTCAAAAATGGCTCTTAAAATAAGTTCATAAATATGATGTCTACATATAATAAGTCTCTATAGGTAAATAGGTATACCTAACTTTTATTCAATTAAAATACATGCTTCATTTAAACGACCTGTATTGGACGCAGTTGTGTCACAACACAAAGCTTGTACTATATTGCATAACCCCCAATCTCGTAATGCATTACACACAGCTGTAGCTTGTTCTTCGCTGAAGTTTTGGTACTCCTAAAATTTGTCCTATATTTTTGCTGGTTATCACGATTGGAAGTCGTTCATCAGTTGCATTTCTAGTTGTAGTATCCGGTAACATTTTTCCGTCCCAATGTACGACTGCGTTATTAGGTGGAGATTATTTAAATTGTAATTTTATTTGTTCACCACGCTCGTAACGGTATGATTCTCGAGCTCTGTGTGTAGAATATATCAAATTAGATATAATTAAATTGTATACATTTTTCAATTTTTAGTATTGAATATACTGACAAATATTTAAAATATTAAATATATGCTCCGACCGATGCAAATAAAACTTGTTTACCAATTCAAACATCCTTACATTTTTGAAATCAGACAATTAGAAGTATTTAAATTTCTTGCAGCCCCGTAGGTCCTTTTGATGAAAAATTGATAGGGTTTTCAGGGTGTTTTGTTTTTGTGTCCTTGTCAATAGTACGGAATCATTTAGACTCTAAATTTTACAGTATGTTTTTCACATAATTTGCAAAAAGCACCATTACGTTGAACATCAAAATAAAGCCATAGAAAATAACTATCCTATTTTTTATTATAAAATCTTTTTTTTTACCTTTTTTTTTGTAGGCGTAACCATAGATAATTTATCTAAATCCGTGTCAATTGTGTCATGATGAGAATCTTGTTATTTTTCTTTTGGACATTTTTGTTACGGAACAATACAGGTACAAACAACTAGGCAGAACTGATTTAACTTATTATTTGAGTCTCCACGAACTGTGACAATAGTAGGTGGGTAATATGTACGTAGTTTTAGATTACCTATATCGTAATCCAGCCGTTATCATAAATTGTATTTTGTGATTATTATTTTTCGTTATCTTATAACTGCTATAATTTTGGGAAAATCAGTAGATAGTTCCTATACTGGCAATACGGTGTAAAAACATTGATATAAATAAATGATATTTTATTGAACGCCATTAGGTGCGGCAATCGTAACGAGTATTATGCATTTAATAAATATGTACATTTTTTGAACTTGTATTTTTCAGGAGATGGGGGGGCATTTGTCCCCCCCCCTGAAGTATACCTGGATTCAACACTGATTGTATATCTTGTGTGTCTTTGATTTTAATCTTTATTAGGTAACTAATTACTGCACCACTAAATATTTTCATAATTAATAACAATCTATTATGATGTTATTATGATTTTCACATATTATATAATGATGATTCGAATTATTATACAATATCATTTCTAATGTTTATAATATGTTATTATTATTTAAATATCAACCTTAATTTATCCATTGTTACTCCAATGGCCACTGTAGCCGAAAATGTTTGTATATGTATAATAATTCATTAAAAACAAAAATATGCATTAAAATGTTCTATTTATTTTAGGTATAATAAATAATTTGTTCATCATCGAAAGGTACATTTCTACATTTCCAGAATTGTCATAACCGTAATTTATAATAAAACTGTGTTAAACTTTAAAAACATTTTACATTGCTAAAGTTTTATATATTTGCACATTTATAGTTTTTAATTAGAACATTTGAATAAAATACAATATTATTATAACTATTATCATTAAACAAAATGTATACATTCTTAACTTCTTGTGTTCCAATTTTCATCCATACCGAGTGTACATAATATAATTTAATCTAAGTAAGTACTACAATCTATAGGTAACTGAATGTTTCTAAATTTATTATATCGTCAAAAAATGTGTCCTGTTTCGATCAAAATGTTATTATTTTAATGTATAGGTACTCGTATTGTTATACAAGTCGTGTAGGTAAGAACTGCAGCTGTTAGATGTTATTCATTCGTGGCTTACTACTATACCAGAAACTGTACAATGGCCATATACATACTTAAATCGATTGTTCGCAATATAAATACTAGTAGGGATCATGCAATTTATTACACGGTCGGGGCTAGAAGAACAATCCAATGAATTAAATCCATATAAAATTAATTTGGTGCTAAAAAAATTTGAAGGTGTTTTAAAAATCGTTTCTAATGTATTTAGGAACGTGGCGTGAATGTGTGATATACTTTATGGACACCGTAAATAGATTGTCTGAAAATATTAAGCATGCTTATAAAAGGCATCAGACCTAATCAACCTCAGTAGGCCACAGAATCACCGAAACTTAAAATTCTCAATTGGAAGCCACGCGCCCATAAATTGCTTGTTAAAAACCGTTTCGCAAAGCAAGAACCGCACTCGGGATTTTGGTAGTCCTGATTAAGGAAAAACAATAATTTGACCATAAAAAGATATGAACAATTCTTATAAAAAATATTATTGCTTTGATCGTACTTGTTTATGAATTATATGAAGGTGGTATCCACGTGTGTGGTCTCCGCCTTACAAATATATAACCTGGCAAAAACTGTTTTCGCGGAACGACTTTACTCCCTCATAGTCGACTTACTGAAATTCCACAGCGCATAGGAAATAACTTTATCTGTAACGTATTTTTTTTATTATTTAGGTGACATAAATACAGCTAAAGTTTTAAGTTTGGAAAGATTGGTTAGTCCTATCAAAAAAATTAAAACTCCACGTCACAGATAAAGTTGTTTCCAATGTATTGTGGTATTTTGGGAATTCTACTATGAATACAGAGGGAGTTAAGTTGCTTATTTTTATGTTTTTCAAACGTTGATAACTTTTTTTCACAAACTCGATATCGAAAAATAACAATAAAATTACTCGAGACATTTTTTTTCTTTTTATTGTTATGATTTGATTTTATCTATCACTATACCTAGTTCTGTAGTCTTATCAGTTCTTACCCAAGTGATACTGTTTTTCTATACAACTTTATTATTATGCAATAACTATCAATTGCGCAGACGTATTACCAGGTCTGGTAGGAGTGTAGGACCACCCATAAGTTACCTACCTACTTCGAATTACTACTTGAATATATTTAAAATTTTGATTTTTTCTAAAATTGTATATACCTATCTAACCCTTTAAAAAGTGAATATTGCATGGTAACATGCCATCCTCTTTGGAGGATTGGTAAATTGGTAAAGGATATAGCATTGGTACTTAATAAATATATTAGGTATTGTAATAGGTATTTATAATAATATTACTATTGAAATATTATTTAATATTTTGTACATCAATATTTCTAAAAAAAAGTATTCTATGTAAAACTATGACATTCAAAATATTTAAATATATATAATATGTGGCTTAGTAATCAAAAATTGAATTGAACAACAACACAATATTATAATATGACGATTAAAAATAAATTAGGGCAATATAAAATATTAAACTTACATTTTTCAATATAATGAGTAAATACTGTTAAAATAATCACCTTATACACATTAATTTTTTGACGTACCTAATCTCAAGTCGGTAGGTACATAAAAATAAATTTTATGAGACAATATTAATTATATATTTTATATTTTATTTATTTTATTTTATATTTATTTTAGGTATTTAATATAATATTATAAGATGAAGAGTGGACAACTATTACTCAATGATAGTATGCATTCTATTCAATCTTTTATACTATTATGCAGAATTTGTAAGCACCTTTAAGCACTCCAGTTATTTGTGACTTAATATGCACCTACATATATATGTACATATATGTGTGTAATATGTAATACTATGTACAACTGCTGTAGGTATGAGCCATGAGGTAGTGGGTAAATAACTGCAGGGATGACAAATCGGTGGCACCCAAAAAAATGCCGAGGGCACATTAATAGTCAGTAATGTATTTTTTATTATTAAATCTCTCAATAAATAGATTTAAATTCAAATGTTTTTCTTAATTATATAATATATTTTAATGAATAGGTAATATTTTTCAAAATGTAATGGCACGCAGGGGAAAAACTTTAACGTTAGAAAAATTGGCCACCCCTGGTGTATAGGTTAGGCCCAAATCGCCTCCAAAGTTATTTTAGTCATTTTAAAATTAAGTTGGCGATGGTTTTAAATAATAAAATATAACACAATTATGTTTTACTAAAATGTACTAAAATGTGTAAAGCTATTGAAAAAGTTTGTAAAAAGGTCATATTGTATTATACATTATTACAATTTACAATCATAATACAAATTACAAATTATTATTGTCTACAATAAACTATTAAAAAAATTATTAAGAGTCTGTATGGTAAATATAGTGTTTCGCTTTCTTGTGGTTTTCTCTGGATAACGATAAATGAAACTCAAATATTATTTAAAATATTGTGTAATGATTTTTTCTAATAGTTTTTTATAGAGATAGACAATAATAGTTTGTAATTTGTATAGTAACTGTAATAATGTATAATTTAATATGAATTTATTAAAAACTTTTGCGACGACTACAAACATTTTGCTAAAAAATAATTATACACCATGTTATTTAAAAACCATTAACAACTTAATTTTAAAAAGACTAAAAGTAAAATGGCTTGAGTAGAAGCGAGAAAGATTGATTTTGGTCACATAGGTAGTCTGTAGCGGCGAGTAAAACTAATATTCGCTGGTAATATTATTTGTCCGTATAATATTGGAGCGAGTCAACACTATAAATATTTTAGAACGTCCTACGCGTGCCTAAACGAATAGACATCTTATCTACCTATTGATCGTATATAAAAATGCGATTGATCAATATTATTATTGTTGATCACTGATCAGATTAAAAAAATAATCGAAAACTTGTCGTCATAGTTGCTTATATTATATTTTTATTATTATTATTATTATTATTATATTATACCTACCATGGTAGGCGTACTCAAGGTAGGTTTATGGGGTTTAACCCTCCCCCGTTGGCTTTTTTTTTGTGTGCCGATAGCCCCCCATCATATTTTTCTAGAAATATCCACCCCCTCTCCCAATCCCTTCCCCCTATTGGAAATCCCTGAGAACGCCACTGGTACCTACTATACCTGTTCTCAAAACTGTTATGCTCATGGAGCTCGTTTAATTACCTACTACGAAAACATGATATCATCTCAGTCATACATGAATTATGGACCAACAGTTTTGAAAATATTACGGTACCTATTTCACTTTGAGTCCGATATTTGACACCGGACTATCATCAAATATGCATAGAGTGTTTCACTAGTTTTTGTAAGCTGTTTAACATACACGTTATAGGATACAGTGTATCACGTTTCGTTGTACGCGCGTACAATTTTATCTAATGATTTCAGATCGATAGAACAGAATTTTAAAAATCAAATCTTAATTTTTTCAGAACAATTGCTTAAAGTGGATATCGATTTTGTTGTTGGTACAACTGCGTGTTGAAGACATATTTGATCGGCCGTTAAAAATAAAGAAGATTTTTGAAGTTCAACTTTACAAGTATAGGTTAAATATTAGCTTGGCATGAGGTAAACAGCCAGGAATTCAATATGATAACATGATTGGCTCCGGCTATAGGACATTTATGGAGAGCTGAAAAACTGTCGGATTAAAATTTTTTCGATTTTCGAACATTATCGTTTCGATTTTAAACACCGCGACGACCAGTAATTCGTAAACTACTGACTTGTGTACCTACAGGTATTTCAGTTGTTGCAGCCAGTTTAGGAAAAATATATAAATATTGGGAGTACCTATGTGATTTGCCAAAAAAAAATATCTGTTGTCCACCACATCTAAAAATTAACTCTGTTAATGTGCTCCACACAAAACCAGATATAAAATCACATTATGTAATCTACGCAATCGTGTACCTATACAAATTGTAATTTGCTCCATATTTTTCACCTTACCAAAATATTGTAATTTTAAAATAACGAACAGTAATTTTCAATTTATTAACATATATTTTAAACCATTTATCTTTCGTGTTCAATTCAAGAAAATTATTAAAATGTAAGCTAATTAGTATTTACCTACATAGTTGGTGGTATAAGTATACGCACTTTGTGTATAAATGATTATTACTTCAGTTAATGATGAAATATGTAAAAATCGGGAATATTATATAGTTAACTGTCTAATTATTCTTGTTATTAATATTCCACGTTATTTATTCACGTTTTATGTGCAATATCAGACGTGAGCTCGATGCATCTATCAGGACATCAGATATTATATTCCAAAAATGATTTACCTAATTCGAAAGTGTGGCGCAGATCACATAATATGCCATTTTGTTTTCTGTCGTGGCGTAGATTACCGAAATTAATATTCAGACGTGGCGGCGCTACGTGTTGTTATTCTTGTATTATTTTCGCACGGATTACGCGCGCATATAATATTATGTCTATTGGTGGTGCGAATCGCGAGTGAGCTAAAATCGGCCCAAAATACGATCTCCCGTTATTTATCTATTACTATTCTGTTTCAGACGCTGCATGGAGTGGGTAATGGAGGAGGTGTTGTACGTGTATTATAGGCGCATAATATCTCTAATGGTTCCGTATATCGGGCATAGGTACCTATAAGTACCTATACGGGCGTCGCGGTGGTAAACGGAAGTAGACGTAAGTCGCAATGTAAATTTGACGGTAGGTATATTAACAGGTGGGTGTGTGCGGGACAACGGGATGACATGCCGAGCGATGAAATTACAAAAACCGAGCGAATATGACCCAGTACGTCATGTTGAGCACGGCGAACAGCAACGGAAAGAACACTCTCGAGAACCGATCGATGTTTATGGCCCGGGTGCGGTTTCTCTGTGCGAGGGCCGTCGTGGCGGCCAGAGCGGCCGCGGTCGCTTGTGGCGGTGGACGCGGGGGAGGCGGGATCGAGTGGCCGTCGTTTAACTTCAAGTTGCTCTGCAAAACCAAAACGCATTATATTATTACAATACACGAATGTGTTTTTTAATTGAAAACCGATCGATTTTCTTCGTTATCTCTCTACGACCGCGTGTATAAAAATTCAAAACGCGTCATCAAATATTACGATATATATATATATATATGTATATATATATATATATGTATCAGCTACGCGCCTATTATATATACTTATTTTGTTGCGAAGACGAGCTGAAGAAATGTATCGCCTGGGCTACCTATGGACGTGTTTCGCAGGGGCATTTAGGGTGTTTGTCTATTCCTTTTTTTTATTTTTTTTTGTAACAACGTTTTAAAAAACTCAAAATTATGAATATTATACGGTATTATAGATAGTCGGGTAGGTACAATAATATTGTACAAATAATAGTACAATTCACCATGATGTAAACAACAAGGTACGATATTAACTTTTTTGAGGTGCCAGATAGTGCAGAATGCACGTGAGTACGTGACGTGGGGTAGTGCATTATAGTAATGAATAATTTAATGACAACGTGATAATATGGGTAAGCAAGTGATGTATGGCCCAGACTTCAACCAAATCTGGACTTAAGAGATCATACCATGTCGTTTTTATATTGTGCAATTCACTATCGTCAGGTTGACGTATATAGATCGACTGATCGACTGAATCAAGACTCTAGATCAACAGTAGAGCTAATTGTATAAAGTACGTCTTATTATAAAATCACAAGAGGATAATAGGTAGGACATATGTACCAAGGGTCTGAGTACCTAATAAGTATTTGTTTCACAGTTTAAATAACTTCAAAAAACTAATTTTTTTACTTTTTTCGAACAGCAATTTTATTTTGTAATGCAATAATTTGAAAAACATATTATTTAGTTTTCTTCGAGTATTTTTTACTTTGAATTGTGTATCATGTATTTTTCCTCTAACCACTAACCACTTAGTAGTTACTTTACAGAACGAGTTATCACTGTTGTCTAAAGTTACACTAAAATTCGAGAACTGAACTTCCTTTTCAATCAATATCAATGGCTTAATTAATTAATGAACATGACTTTTAAGAAAAATATGCCATATATATATATATATGTGTGTGTACATTAAACCGTGCATGAAAGTGTAAAAAAAAGTTCTCGATGATGGTGGAGGGAGGAGGCGAATGCCCATATTTCTTCCATTCAAATACACTATCGACCTAATAAATAAGTATCGTATACTTAATATGATTATATTATATAAGTGTCTAGTCTGTAACCACTTACACCCGTGTAATACATAAGTGTGTATCCGTTCAAAATGTTCAGCAAATACATTTTATTTTATAATTTAATTATTTCTGTATTTACATTTTATTTTATCAATAGCGTAATTATAAAAAAGCAAATCATTTGATAGTGCTTCAAAAAAAAAAAAAATAATAAAAAGTCGAGGAAAAGAAGCATGATAAAACAATAAATTGTTAAAATTATTTCGTACTAGACTTTAAGATGTTAGCAAACAATCTGCTAGCTATAAGTAATAATAATTGAATATTCTAAAGTAATTAATATTAAATTTAAAAAAAAAATCGTATATGTACTTGGTTCGAAAATCTGCCCACACGGCAAAACAATATATATTTTAAATAATTTCCGAACAAATGTAAAGTGGTTTGAAAATATAGAACGTTGAAGTGTTTTTGATTTGCGAAATATCCGATGATTCCTTGTCTTATACATCTATATTTTTAATTAGCTCATAAAGTTATAACCATATTATTAAGTGTTTTGTTTCATTTTTAGTGAGAGCTAACTATTAAGTATTAAGTAACAGAACATTTCTGCTATATAAAAATATTGTAAGAAGTTGTAATGATTAAGTAATATGGAAAATAGAAAAAATTATACATTTTCATATACTAGGTATAGATGTATAGTGTCTTTCAGAAATTGTTTAAAAAATGTGTTGGAAAGAGTGTTTACTATTAAAGTGATCAGGGTGATCATCACAGGGAGTTTGTACTTAGGATGAGGTTCCTGTGGTTTTAGTAATAATTAAATTAATGATTATATTTTATTTTTCACCTCGAAAAAACTGGTGCCAGCCACTCTATTTTGCTTTATATCATACTATACCTACTATACAGTATACATACTTACAATAATTCGATAGAAAAGTCATTACTTGAATACGCTTTGGTGAATAAATTGTATTGACTTAATATCTTGTAGGTGCTACATTCATAATATTATATTGATATTCATACATGTCGAATTTTTCCTACATTATGAAAGTATGAACGGGGCATAATCAGCAAGGGTGTAATTTATAGACAGAATGTATTTTCTTCTTATTTTGTAGCTTTAAGGATATCGTGAATATTGTATATTTGAAGCATGTTGAAATGTGTGAGAGCCGTATATGTTGTCGTTTAAAGTTAAAAAAGGAAAATATAAATAATGACTCTGAGATATTATAATATAATATTGTATTATATCATAGAAGTCATATATACATATATATATCAGCCTGATTCATAGAACCCGTAGAACATACTTGGGAAAAACTTAATACATACTTAATAAATAAATTTCCACAATCATACAAACATATAATGAGCGTTTTCTTAGGTATATTCGTAAAAGTTAGTTTTTTTGTTAAAATAATATTCTATGGTTCTAGGTTGATACCTACTTGATTGTTCGAGATTTATTTCAAATTTACTTTTCATCAAAATTTCCCGTTGTTTTATTATTTTTAAAGTGGATCATTAGTATCGATTTATATGATAATAACTTAATTTAATATTAATTATCTACTCATTTAAAATATAATCAATTCCCACAGGGTTTGCTTGATGTATACCTAATGGGATTCTACACTACCGTACATATTTTTCTTTATTATTCTTAAAAAGAAAAAATTTCGTATTTTTGGAAATTTTAATGGAACAATTTTTGTTTATAATTCTGACTCAACGAATTCAAAATAGAGTTCATAATAAATTCAAATGTGTTTTCAAAATTATTTCCAAAATTAAACTCAATTCAGTATGATGGATGGCATATTATAGGTTTTTTTTGCTCCAAAAATTGGAGGGTAGTGTAGAATCCCCATATTTTTTTTAACCGATTTTAATGATATATATTAATAATAAACTATTTTTCATTGTTTACCTTAACTGAAATAAAAAATTATATTTACCCTGAAGCTGAAATTAAACGATTTTTTATTTAATGGTTTTGGTGGCATATCGGAATCACCAAGCACTATGTTCACCAAGCAATATTCCATGAGAGCCATAAATACGAACCTATAACATATATCAATAACAACATTTTGTTAGTTTATACTCAAATATATAATAATTATAATTATAATTTATTTTTTATATAAATCATAGGTACATAATTTATTCAGAGTAATATGTATATAAAATTGTATAAATATAGTTAAACGATTTTAGATCATTTTAGAGTCTAGGGATAATAATAGGTAAGTATGAAATTGTCTTGCTCTAGTGCGTAATATTTGTGGATCATTCGAAGTGTGTCTGTTTATAATAATCCGAGTGCATCTGTAACGAATTTTGTATCTATATAAGATCTGTATCTGTACCATTATAATATAAAAATTATAATTGCATAGCCCGTGTGCGATTTGCATCCCAGTACATTATTAGCATTACCCAGGCACAAGCGAAGTTTCTGATGACCAAATTAAAAACAACTGTGAATACTAACAAACATTTATTTCCAAGTGTCTCTAAAATACATATTATTTTTTTTATCATTTATATATTAATTGATTCAAACTAATAACTTTCAGGAGAAGAATTGTGCAACTGTTTATAGAGAAAGAAAAATAGTGTAGTCTTTGAAGTTTAAATTACATACAAAAAAGTTATAGGAGCCATCATGGACGATTCCATATAATATGATATCTCCAAGAGCAAACAATTACTATGGGTAGTGAATATCCGATAGGTAGTTATTTATTTACTATGTAAATATTAAGTATATCGCTACTTGATTTTTTTCAAACACAAAACTTCACATGTGATTCAAAATCTCTATAATATGTAGGAGAAACACAGCGCATGGTGGGGACTCTAATGTCCGAAGACCACTTAAAAATCAATTTTCCCTTTCAAACTTTGTCTATACGTGGGGCAAAGCCCCCCCCCCCCGGGCATACAAAAAAAAACATCTAAATTTTATACATTTTAATTGATCACCTCAATAAATTATTTATAAAAAACATTAATATACCTACTTAAATGTATTAATCAGCTCAAAAGAAATAAAAATAAAAATTGTAACTTTTTAAATGTAATATAATTTAAAATAAATTTTAGGAACAAAATGTACAGTTAAACATGAATTCATAATCGTTTTCTTCAATCCCAACACAAATCCAATTTTTAAATAATATACACTTAATCCACCCATCAACTGAAGTTATTATTTCTTTATTTGGGGCAAATCAGAGACGACCCCACATAAAGCTATGTAGGTATAAGCCACTTTACCCCAATTTATTAAGCAACTCAAAACCTTTGGTTTTATTTTGTTCAAATACCTAACTCAAATAAAGAACTAACAACATAAGCTTTTTATATAAAAAAAAATATTATTCAAAACAATGCACAAAATAATAAAATATATCAAAAACAAATTATAAAAATGTATTATCAAGAAATAATTATAAATATGTACAGTTTTACATCGATTAAATGTAAAGTAATCTATAGTTTGGTTCAAAACTTTTATCGCACAACCCCAGACGACCAAGGAAGCTATATAGGTACATCTAACAATATTATCAATTTTATACATTAAATAAATAGATATTTCGAAGTCCCCACTTTGCCCAGTGTTCCACTAAGCCTCGCGCCTTTACATAATACGATAATTTGTACATCTATTGTTTTAAATGATTGTGCATTAAAATACATATCATTAGATTTTTTTTACGGTGCTGCAATTATGTCAGTATCTCGTGATTTATTATGAAGAATTTAGTTAAGAAATTGTTATTTTAATTGGATAATTGTTGAGTTTGTATATGCGTTTGTAATTTGTATGTATAATGTGTAATATACTTGTGTAATATTAAAATAAACTACCTATCTGAATATATTCTATTATAGTAAAACATTATTTTTTAAATGTTCATTATTGCATACATTTAATTAAAAACGGCAGATCCGACGTTTAATTTAATTATAAGTATAAAAATATAATATCAGCTTTGTTCAGATTGAAAAATAATAGCATTGAGTACTTGATATTAAATTAATTATTAATTAAAACTATAAATTATAATAAAAGTTATGAAGTAATATGAATAATTATTATCTTTATTTTAATATATTTTATAAACGTTTATATGATGTAATGTGACCTGCTGTCCATTTACAGACGTTTTATTAGACGATGATAGTTCTATTCTGATTAACTACTATTAATTTAATTTCATTAATTCAGTTAGGTATTTATTGAAGTCAAACAACCGTGAAGTATAAACATACAAGAATTCAATTATATTTATACAAATATATGGTACTACTCTAGTGTATTGGTATCTTAAATGTTAAGAGTGCATATTTTCTAGAATTTCCTCACTCGTTTTAATTAAACATCACCCAAAAATCTCCCACTCTAAAACATAATTATTATTGTTAATTAAGGTTGTTCAGAAGCTATATAATATATACTTACACGGTACACGCGGACATAAACGTATCGACTGCTTTAAGATATGAAACTGGAGGCAGCGCCGCTTGAGATTTAGCGTGTTGTGTTGACAACGTCAATAGAGAGGTAACACCCAATGTCACACGGGCTGGAGCAGCTTCAGGTTTAATCCAAAACGAAACCCACTAAAAAATTTTTAATCTAGCTGTTTTTTGGTATGATTTTAAACAATATTTTTAACAATATTTATCTACAAACATGTTATAGACATATAGGTAGTCACTAGTTGAGCATAAAAGGTAGGTAGGTACCTAACTAATGAACATTCGTTTTCGGTTAAGTTATCACTTTCCGACTGTCGTTATCATTGTTTTAATAATATTAATGATACACTCAATAATTGGTAGATAATAATAATTTCAAATTTGCAGTTAAATTTCCAAATATAAAATACCCAGGAACAGGCCCCGTTCAGAGGCTGTCAAAATTGATCCATACCCCCGAAGACCATTGCAGGGTCCCTTGTGCCACCTTATGTAAGTGTAAAAAGTATAGTCTATTGACTATAAGATTTATAATCAAATTTTTGTGAAAAATTTATAAGTACCTGCCTATATTTAATATCCCAAAATAAAAATTAAATTAAAAGAGGTTCATTCATGATTTTGCCCAAAATTGAAATATCTCTGAACGAACCTATCAAGAATTTAAAGATCAATACAACTGCTCTAAGGTTAGGCCTGTAAACTGGTTTTCTTAAAAAATTATTTTTTGTGTAAGATAACATCTAAAGAATTTGCGTTATGATTTAATTATTAGGTATATTTATTAATATATGATTGTTTGCTTGAATATTACTTATTAGCTGGTGTATTAATAATGTTAACTAGAATATAATATTATTATCATTATTTACTTACAGACATAATGACGATAAGACATGTAGGAATATAAGTGTGAAACAAATAGTATCCAAGTCTTCGTTTAAGAACAAAAATAACTTCAAGACACGTAAAATTTCCTGAAAATTTAAGTACGTCAGTTAACGACATATTTTATTTACAATTTCTAAGTTCTAACTAATTTAAACTTTTAAGCAATAAAATATGTTAATTGGTTAGCATAAACTACACAAAGTTAAAAATTTATTCCAATTGTGATTATGATATCCTACAAGTTAATTAATAAAATCGTTATTAAATTATCAACCTAGATACTCAAAAATAAAAATATCTTGATTAAAAACAGAAGAATTGTTTGATAAATTGTGTTGAAATGTAAGAAATTGTTATAAATTGTATTAATTGTTTTAAATACTTGTGGGAATGGTAAAATAGTATTTGTGTTTGATATTCAATATATATAAATTGTACAATGCTTAAGTAGTTAAGTTACACTGGTTTATTTTTGAGGAAATATTTAATGTTCATAATATTATTGTAAAACAAAAATAATTAAAAATATAATGAGTTATTGTTCCTACATATTTATACAATTTTAAAAAAAAAATATTTCCCCGCGATTATCAGAATCTTAAAAAATAAAACTGTAGTATTAGTTAGACATTTCGAGTACCACGGCTACTCAAAAAAAAGTACATTAATGCCAATAATAGCCTTCCCTTCCTAGTTATTCAATGGGTAAACATATACTACGGCCTCGACTTTGGTCTATGAAATACACAGTTATTTACAGTGAGGGGGGAGGAGTAAATATGTATTTGTATATTAATACACGTATTTAAATATAAACATTTTACGTTTTTATTTAGTGAAAAATAGCTGAGAGTAAGGGGCAAACACCCGAAATCCCCAGGTGTATATGCCATTGGCAGTGATACCTAATATAGATGATGTGTATATTGTATATTAAATTTATAAACATTAACAAATATTAAGAGCAAATGAAAATGTATACCGGTGGAATAAACCTGAGTGCAATCAGCAGTTTGATTCTTGACTAACTGTAACTGGGGCAGTTCAATGTTTTCATCAACAACCAACGGTACCTCTGGATCCCATTGGAATATCATGTCATCAGTGGTATGAGACACTGAAATAAATAGGATAATTCAAGTTTACTGTGGTTTTGCCATTAAACGACTTCTTTGATCTTACAGCTCTCCATTTGAAGTTTGCATTCTTGTGTATCATGTGGATATATCATGAAGTTCATTGCACACGATAATGTTAACGTTAATCTAAAAACAAATAATAACTTTAATGAATATTAAATTGGCTTTATTGTGAAAATAATTATTCACGTTGATACGATCGTACTTGACCATGTAGAGAATTGTTTTGTCTTTATAAAGCCACATGTAATGATTTGGAATTGTCATCGTTTGAAATGTAACGGCTTTCGCATTCTTAAAAAACGAATCTGGTCTCCAAATGTTTTTTAACCAATCAACTTCTAATAATCTGAAAACAAGATTTATTAGACATATCAATATCACATTCATTATATACAGTTATTACTTATTTAGTATTTACTGTACCTACAATTTACTATTTAGTGCTGTATTTTATATGACATCTAAATTGTTATAATCCCTATAGGTACTAACATTGTACAACTGCAGTAATATTGATTCATATTAAACACTTTTCATTGGTTTAATATAAAATGATGAAATGCATAATATATTTTTATAAACACTAACCTATATTCGGAAGTCATATTTTCCGGTAAGCGAAGCCTATGATCCTTCCATGTTTGAGCAAAAAAAATATCAGCAGCGTACGTCTTATGAAAAAAATTGAAACATTTAAATGTAAAATAGTTTTTAATTAAAAAAACAATTTGAGTTACCATTGCATTTTCGTCAATTGAATCTAAGCCCATCACCGTAACATGAAAATGAACTTTTGTTGCCGTACCATCTATTTTGGGTGGTCTCATTTTATCATACTGCTTGGCATCTTCTGGTAGAATATCTCTGAATTCCAAGCATTTCGAATACGTAAATTGAGAGCTATTTAAAAGGTAACGGAAAATGAATTACAAATAAGTTGAATAATTCAAAATTTAGGATTAAGCTGGTGTTAAGTATAAACACTAGAGATGAAATATTTTTAATACATCATCTAGATAAAATTTAGGAATAACTTTTTTTATTTATTAATATAATTGTTTCAATACACCTGGTATTTTTACAATGTTTTTACAGTGTTGCTATTTTACAGATTACAAATCATAATATAATATAATCATAATAGGAATAACTAAAATATGTATTAGCAAAAAAAAAGTAGTGTCAATAGTTTATGTAGGTTCTCCATTAAGATCTAAGATGAATAAGTAATTGGGCATTTTTCTTTTTCTTGGAACTATGGATCGTATTTTTATTTTGAAAATCTGAGTACCCTACGATTATAAAACAATATTATTAAATTATTTGTATTATTACTTACTTGATAACATAAAGGAAAATTATAAGCTTAGTTATGATAGCACTGGATATTTTATTCGTATTCCAGTTCTTCATAACTTAATTGTAAACCTAAAACATGAAAATATATAAATAGTTATATTTTAATTACCTAAATGCTATTAATTCTGGTTTTATTTCATACCACAAAATTAAAATATTTATGAATATACAATGTACATAAAAAAATCAATAATAGGTCATTTATAATTCATTTTAAATGTATTTTATGTCATCTGTTAAATTAATATTATTTGTGTCCTTAATTTGATCTTGTTATCAAATGTTTAACTTATCATAAGATCTGTTAATCTAGTTTCAATTGTTAATATTTTGTTCTTATAAGCCGTATGACGTTAATTCAAATAAATTAACAAATACATTTTGTTAATAAATTAAATTATTTTGTTATTCCTTCGTCTTCGATAACCAAACAAAATTGTATACTATCAAAGTGTTTCGCACTATTTCTGAATTTTAATACAAATCAAAATAACTTATATAAATTTAAATGTTTACAGTTTAGACGTATGGTAATAGGTAACTAATAATTTGTAACTTAAGTATGATAAATTAAATTTTAAATTTGTATGATCGAGTGACATATTATCTATGAAAATGTAAAACTCAATCAATATTATTTGTTCTACAATTATTGAAATCTGCAAACTAGGTGCCTAAATTTGTTATTAGTGTAAAACCAAAAAACTTGTGTGGGATAAACAGTGCTGAAATTCAAGTATGAAGTTAGACACTCAGAATGCGATCCTTATACATGATAAATATAATATATTTGTTCACTTAATATTCATGTATCTCAATTGAAGAAATTGCTTCAAAAACCAGATATGTCCACTTTTTCATAGTATTAAATTAAAAAAATCCCTGTAGGCTACATGACTAGGCAACTAAACTAGTAAGTTATAATATATTATGTATAAGTAAGTATAGATTCACCTATAATGTTTAAAGTAAATTGAATTATCTGATTTATGCTTCAAATAATGATTACATTTTAACATAACAAGTAATATATGCATACATTCTACAACTTGATTAACATTAAATAATACTACAGTTCTGTTTTTTTTAAATATAATTAAATATAACAAATTTTTTTCACGAAAACCCATAAAATGATAATAATATAGAGGAAAAATTCAAACAAGTCTATGTCGGGTCAAGTTCAATACATTTTTTAAAAAAAATGTATGTAGAACATAGAAAAACCAATAGTGTCATGAATTTTTCATAGAGTTTAAAATTGCAAATGCGTATACATTTCGAACGATATTAGTATTTTTTTAATCATCCTGAAATGTTTCAAAAAGTTAGGTTTGGCAACAAACCCTTCAATTTATATAATTTATTTTTTGGGGGAAGGGAGGAAGATTAAGACGCCCTTTCATCAATAATTGTGTATTGTACTTAATATTAATTCAGTATTATGTAAATTTAAAATCATTATTTTGTCCAAAACGCACAGTTATCTGTTTACACGTATAGAACAACTGAGCAACTACTATAACTGCACAGTTTTTCTTCAGACATCGCCTGAACTCGCACAGTCCAAAATTTTGAACTGTGCAGTCATACGGTTTTCATTTACACATGCAGTTAGTTTGCTCAAACTTGAGTTCATGCGGTCCGTTTACGCAGTTTAACTGAACTTGTAAACCCACCTTAACGCTTGTTTGATTCTATGCAAAAACAGATGAAAAATCTAAAATTGTTCAATGACGTGTGGTTCGCGTTTAAAAACACTTATTTACGATGTTACGTAGAAGCCCGACTATCGATTACAAATTGAAAACTGATGGTACTTCGAGCTGGTCTGAATATTGTTAGCTCTCTCAGCAGTTTTTGATAAAATTGCGAAAAACTGAGTAATGAGAATAATGCATGCGGCTGGGGCGATTTTTAATACATATTATTATGCTGTATTGCCGTTTTTATAGTGTAATTTTGTTTCAGAACGTTTTATACTTGAGACTTAAGATAATGTCCATTTTTTTCGTTTGGTTAAGATTATTATTACGGCGTTTAAATGATATCGATTTTTGAAGTCGTAATTTTACTTTACTTTTAGCTCGACTTATGTTTGATTTAAATATTACACGACATATTGTAGTGTTTGCTATATAAGTTAACTGCCTTGTATCAGGTACGAGGTTAGGTGGGTACGAAGTACGATTGAGCATAGAATATTTTATGTGACGTGCCACATTCACGTGGCCAAAATTTTGCAATTTCTCGAGCATTATTACACCAGCTATTATGATCCAAGCCCACCTCGCTATTTATCGACAATGTTGTCGATTAATATCGACGTAGTAAATTGCTATAGACGTTTTAAACAATTAGCAATACGCTAAAATATAAGATGATTAAGACACAATTTCAAAATTATAATAGAAATAATATCAGTGTTCAACTTATAGTCGTGTCACATACGGTGCGTTTCATACAGTGCGTACAATTTCGATATTTTAAATATGAATCCATAGACAGTTAGGCAGAAGTAGATAACATTTTTATGCATGGTTGTGTCACTAACGTTATTGTATACGATATAGGACTATGTTAATTTGATGATAGTTGATTTTTATGCAAATTATATAGATACGTAGGTTATGTCAAACACTCAGATTCTGCTCTACAAGTTCGAATGATGTCAGCACTTTTGTCTGTAACGGTGACGTACATAAATGCTTTTATTGAATATTATAAAACCCCAACTTGCATATTGTATATTCACATGATTAAGATAATTTAACCATTCATTATTTCGAAAATACGAGTATTTTTGTGAAGTTATACGTATATACTGTATAAATGCACCTGACTTGAATCTATATACAATATATATGTTACCGTATCAATTATGTAATGCAGTTTATTAACTATGTCTAACGAATATTTTCAGTGCATAGGCGCAATTTGGGGGGGGGGTGCTTAGCACTCCCAATTTTGAAATTAGCACCCCCAATATTTTTCATATTTATTTTCATTTTAATAGCCATTATGCAGGCATCCACAACCATAAGATAAAATGAAAAAAATAAAGGGGCTTCAGCACCCACACATTTTTTATTGAAATTGCGCCCCTGTATCAGTGGCTTATTTGCGGGGGTTGATCTGTGTGGTATATCACCCCACAGAGCCTTTTTTATAATATTATAAATGTTGGAATAGTTTAAAAGTAAAATCATGGCCTATAAAAGTGCACTTTTCGGAAAGGTAACATAACAAGAGGAGAAGATTGAGGGGCAGATATCCCAATGTCCCCTTAGCTCTTCATATGCAAAATAATTTTTGTCGTATCAACACCTAGAAAAAATCCTAGATATACCACTGAATTATGTCATTAATGCCTAACAGCAGTAGACGATAGACATTTACAGACTATATATACCTAGGAAATGTTGCAAAAATAAAATAATTTGTTACGTAATACATTTTTACAAAAATGATCAGGAAATCACCATAATGTCTACTACTGCAGGTTAGACCATGTTGATGATGTTATTGTTCCTAATATTTAAATTGGATGAGAAATTAAAATGACGCTGCAGAGTGCAAACAGAAAAATCGGTAGGTAAACTTTATTATAGATAGGTAGGTACTACACTAGTATATAATTTTTGAAAATGCATGAACGGGGGGTAAGTCGGGGAGCTGTTCCGTCTATCCCCCACGTATATGTAAATATTTGATATCAATAAACGATGAACTGAAAAAAAAGGTAGGAACTACAATAGTATATAATAAGTATGCAAATGCCAAGTGCGAGTGAGTGTGCGTAAATCTCATAATTTATAACACAAATAAGCATACAAATTATACCAAACGTTTTTTAGGAGTTAAATGTATATGAAATTTTCTAGATTCATGCTTTCGAATCGTGTAAATGTGTGCGTAGTATCTAGTAAGTGATCATTAGCATTTAATGCGAGTAACTGCAGGGGAGTATTTAGAAATGTCTAATGATGGGGGCACATCCAAAAAATTCAAATTGAGTGCACGCACACGTCAATAACGCACTACAAGAATATTAATATTGTTTTTTTTTTTTTTTTTGGTCATTTTTTATTTTTTATTATTAACTAACATTTAACTTTTAACTGTATCCGATAACATTTCTAAAAACATATTTGATTGGTTATGATATTTACTCGAAAACAACTTTCTTACATTTTTAAATTAATTTCTCCACTTCAATATTTTAAAATTCTTAGTACTCGAAATGTAAAAACGTTAAAGGGTCTAGTGTATAGGTACACATAACACATTATGATATAGTCAGAAATATTGTTGTCGACTAGTCATTAACGTTAATATTTCTTAATTTACGTCTTTGACAGCAAGTGTTAGCATAATATAAGATTGCCGACCGTAATGGGTATTTCCGATTTCATATAGCGGACTGACTGAACCTCCTATTCGATCTTTGAATCGTAGTGCGTTTTTTCTAACTTATAGAGAACACAACGGATCATGATTTAAGCATAGCGTACATTGGCTGTACACCGAAAATGTAGCGATGAAATAATCAAAAGGAGTATGCCCGTACACCATCTGTCCTGTTTAATAAGTGACTTTTTTACATTATATTATATTCCGAGTAAAGCGACAAATGTATTGATTCTATATTCTATATTCCATATTTCAATGAATGGTGAGTGTTTTTATTTCTGAAGACACTTTTATAAAAAAAAAAAAAATGCTTTAATCTTCGACTTGTATATCTGTTTTTAAAAGTGAATCCAGTTGGTGCTTTGGGATAAAAATTAAAAAATGATTGTATAAAAATAAATAATAATGCAATACTTTTTTTACTAATTAAGTCTTAAAAAAGCGGGTAAGTGGTAAGTGGATGTCGCTCAGCTGTACAGTAATTTACAAGTGAGTCGCTGTAATGGATGGTGTTAAATTTTAATTCAATGATATTGTATACAAAAAACGATTCTGAGCGGAGACGATCCGTCAGTCTAGAATATTACTTAGAAATGTAGTATATTTGACGATATTATTGTAATTGTGTGTAATTTATTTTATTTGTAACTAGTAGA